CCCGTCGGGGCGCACGGTCGACGCGGCACGATCAGCTGTGAAAAAAAAAAAAAGGCGGGGAGGGGGGGGGGGGGGGACTTCGCCTGCTGCGACTCTATTCAGTTTTCACAGTCGTTCCTGATAGTGAAGCACCGCCTGCTGTGACTCTATTCAGTTTTCACAGTCGTTCCAAATAGTGAGACACGATCTGAAGCTGAAGCTCAGTTGCTTAGTTCATGGAATCTTTCGCGCAGCTGCTGGGTGCATCTGCGAAACAATGCCTTTTCCGATTCCAATGTTTATCATTTTGTTTGCTCTGCCAGTGTGGTAACGAATCAGAGCGGCTTTTTGCCCGTATTACCAACAAAATCAGCTAGCCGCGAGTGATAGATGATAAAAATGGCATAAAATAAGGCAAAAGCCACCGCTCCATGGCGTTTTGACGGTGTTTTGATGGCGCACAGCTGCTGGTGTTAAGGTTTTAATGCAAATGTTTCGTTCGTTCACGAAAGCGGTTGTAGTCATTGTTTCAGCGTGCTTTTCACGGCCTCGCTATGCATGGGTGAGAATCGCGTCGTGACGCTCCTGGGATAAAATAAAAAGCACTGGACACTTTTTGAATTTTGAGAATAAAAGTTTCATTGTTTTGCTAGCCAGTTCAGATTGGCTACATTTTCGTTATTTCACTACAACGAAATTTTGCTTCAACAAAATTTTTTCCGCGCCCTTTTAGTTTCGTTGTAGCGGGGTTCGACTATATAATAAAAGCTCCCGAAAAAGAAAACTGTCTGAGAAAGACACGACAAAAACAGGAGCACATACACATGGGCGCCGAACTTCCAATTGAGTTTATTTACAGAAAGCAGGTGGCTTATAGGTTCTTCAATATAACAAGACATATGAGCTAGGAACGATAGCAATGACAGAGTTAAAAACAAAAACAAGAGTGCTTGCACATCATGTACATGAGAGAGACCTGATGTGTTCATCTAAAAATTTTATTTAATCCTGTGATAACGATGCTCAAAAAGGGCTTATACAGCTATCTCCCCTTTTGCAATGAAAAGTACCTCGGTGGCTTCTTGAATTCTCGACTTTTCCACTCATAACAACTTTGTCTTTTCTAGATGAGGCAAGCATATCTTGCTACTGCATCTCTTTAAATGCAGGGGGAGAATACTGCTCGTGCCAGTGGGCAAAGGTCATTTGTGCTTGATGTAGTCAAGGTGTTGGGCCCAGGCGGACACCAAGGCGGACACCCAGGCACTGGGACAGAAGGAACTCTTGGGAGGCTTCCTGCTCACAAGAAAAACACACAAATTTATTTACATATGTTCAGATGTCAAGAACACTAGGCGTCGAGAAGCGCCTCAACACCAGATATGACCAACCATATATAACAAAGGCCACCGAGAGAGAGGTCCCAGCGCACACGCAACGCTCCTTTTATCTCGCCTGGTCCGTGCACGCACTCCTTGTCCAACGCCGACTGCGTGTCTCAGCAACACTTATGTGCATTCCCTGTAGCACACATGGTCACCTCTCGCATTCCTGCAGGATCCGGACCACATTTGGAGGGCTCTCCGAGGAACATCCCTTGCAGGCAGAGTCCATGCATTGCCAGTCATAACAGCCCGTCCGCCGCCCGAAGAGGTCACGTAAGGGCTGCAGTACCGCTGCTCTCTGAAGTGGCCCTTGTATGTACGTGGTCCGTAGAGATTGTCCGTACGCTTCGCACCGGTTGTTGACCACAACTCACACACAGCACAGAGCACCGTGCACAACAAGCGCATTTCGGCGTCGCCACGATCCACCACACACCTATGCCCGCTGGGTTCCAACATGCAGCTCCACAGCTGGCCTGGTCACTGCTGCCTGGATGTTCCTTGCTCGACAATGGCACAAAAGCCCAGCAGAAAGGCGGCAGTCCACAGTATCATTCATCATGCCCTTCTTGCTCAGATGTCGGGCCAGTAGGCGTAGCTGGACTCTACATGGCTTAAGCACAAAGCGATGCAGTCAAACCCAATGCCGACACCGAAAAGCCCTCGCTTTTTCAAAGATCACCAGGTGTGAATTTACTTCTAAGCTACCTGCTTAACTTTTTGCACACGGAAGCCTACACCATGGTGGTGACTAGTTAAGTAACTTGACGCTCACGTGATCCATTTTTAAACGCTCAACAGACTCTAGCCAAAAGGTCACCTTGAAACAAGTTATTTGAGACGCGTGTGTCAACACCCGCGTTAGACCACCCGGACTCTTCAAGTAATCGCCCTCCGGGGCACTGCAATGCCAGGGTTCCAACCAAAGAACTTGTTTCCAGACGCACAAAGACGGAAGCATTCGAACGACTCCAACCTCCATACACACGCATTCCTTCAGCTCAAAACCAAAAGGACTAAGTATCTTTGAAAATGTGCCCTCTGTGACCCAAGGCACCACCGACAATACAGCAGCTTCATCCCCACTGAAGGAGCTGGGCTCTTCAAGTTTATCACCTCCTGTGTCATTTTCTGCACCTTTATCGCTGCATTACACAGAACTCAATGTTTTATTATGGCAATCCTGCCTATCTACTTTGCTATCTGAGGATGGTAGTGCCTCCGGCTGTATTTTTTCTGGTTTGATGAGTGTATCTGCACACCCTACTTGCTCAGTCGGAGATACCGCATCTACTCTAAGCCGAAAAGAACCTTCCTCCACGAGCGAGTCATCCTGGTTTTCGGTCATGCTTGTGACGCCTGTTATCTCTAACTGGCGCTGGATGCGGCACCCACCAGTTAGCTCAGCCGTGCCTTTCAAGTTTATCGTGCCTGGTTTATCTAGAATCTCTTCGTTTACTGTGGCCTTACCACCAACATGTTTCGCCAGGGCACTGCGAAGCTCAAGCCTCAATCGCTCCACTTTCCTTTCATGGGCTTCAGCTCACTTTTTACGCCTCGTGGTCTCTCTCTCAAGCACAAGCCGCTCTAGTTCTTTGGCTTCCTTAGGCTTGGCGTGTACGAGCTCCCAACCATCGCAAAGCCTTTCTTTATCGACGCCGAAATCCTTAATCGCTTGTATTAAATGCGGCTTCTTGTGTATCCTCACTCCATCAATACCCAGCTCGTTGCCTAGAAGCACTACATCTGGTTTTAAATGCGAAGCATTTCTTAGCGATCTTTGGTGACTTTGAGCGTATCCGTCTGTCCACCCGTCCGTCCGTCCATCCATTCATCTGCCTACGACTTTTAGCTTTCCTGGCCGTTTCGATACCAAACCAAACTTGGTATGGCATAACATGACTGTATGAAGAACATATTTGACTAGTCATAACATGAAAATATGGCTTGTATGTCACGAATGTCATGATTTATATTTTATGGTCCTGCAGCTCTTGTGGCGGTTTCGTTCACATGGCATGTTGCAAAGCTGGTATGGTATGGCAAGATTGCATGGCAAACTTAAGTGACAGACCCTAACATGAAAATCATGACATGCATGTCATGTAACAACATGACTACATATAACTCTCATGATGCGCTCACGGCTGTTTTGCTAGCGTCACATATACCAAATTCGGTATTACAGTACGTGAATGGATGACGAAGGTATGTGATTGGTGCAAAAATGATAATTACGAGATGCGTGTCATGTAACAACATGACTACAGGCCACGCTCATGATGCGCTGGCAGCCATTTTGCTAGCTTCACTTATACCAAATTTGGTGTTACGGGACGTGAATGGATTACGAAAGTATGATACTGGTGAAAACATGATAAACATGAGATGCGTGACGTGTAACAGCATGACTACGTGCTACGCTTATGATGCGCTCGCGGCCATTTCCCTAGGTTTCTTATGTGCAGACTCGTTATTATGTCATTCGAATGGATGAAACATCCAAACATGATAATCACGACATGCGTGTCATGTCACAACATGACTACATGCCACACTGATTATGCGCTCGCGGCCGTTTCGCTTGCTTCACATATGCCAAGTTTGGTATGTGACGCCAATGGATGACGAAGGTATGTGACTGTTGCGAACATGATAATCATGAGATGCGTGTCATGTGAGAACATGACTACATGCCACAGTCAAGGCGCCAATACATTTCGACCTGATGCGGTGCGTGTGCTCGCTGGCGTTCATTTCGTCGCGACACGCCAGCATTGCCACGCCAGGCACCGGTTATGCCATATACTCACAGGCACTTGCTGCGTTGCTTTGATGCATTCGCGTTTCAGCGCATCCAGCGTCCCTCCATCACGAAAAGAAGGAGACGCAGTGTTGTCTGGCTAACGCATCGGTGCGAAATGCAGCATGTCACATTTCGCGCCGATTGCCGTCGGGCTGCACCGACAGACGCTGGTCGCACTTAACGTCAAACTATAGAGTGCTCACGTTTTGACAACGTAGCGTCGCTGTGCCCAGCGTGCGCACACGTCAACGCTACTTTGGAGTATAGTAGGCCCTTCATGATGCGCTCGCGGCCGTTTTGATAGTTCCACATATACCAAATTTGGTGTTACGTGACGTCAATGGATGATGAAATATATGACTGGTGCAAACATGAGAATCTTGACATGCGTGTCATGAACAAACAGAACAACATACCACGCTCATAGTGTGCTCGCGGCCGTTTCGCTCGCTCCACATATACTAAATGTGGTATCACGTGAGGTGAATTGATGACGAAGGTAAACGACACATCCAAGCATGATAATCATGACACAGGGTTCATGTACGACATCATTTACCTCCACCTCCTAACGTTGTGCTGATTTTAAGAGGACATATCAACATTTCTCATTCGTGCTTCACATATCATTGATTCCCACTATACGTGGGATCTGCCAATTTTTTTTTTAACTTGTTCAAATCTATAGTCACCCTCTGTTGCTCAAGCTGCTGTGAAGGTACCTCAATAAACACAGCCTTCACAAAGCAGCAACCAATCTACCCCTTCGGAAAGACATCGCCTTCTAACCACGACACCTGGTAGAATCTCTACGGAGAGTGAGCACTCACCAGCATCGGCACCATGAAAGAACACAACCGGATCCTGTCACTGTCTACCAGTTGATCTAGTCGAGGTGTTATGCCAAGGCGGACACCCAGGTGCCGGGACAGGACGAACTCTTGGGAGGCTTCCTGCTCACACGAAGAACACACAAAGTTATTTAGATATATATACAGGTGTCATGAACACTAGGCATCGAGAAACGCCTCAACACGAGACATGACTGGCCGTAACAAAGGCTAACGAGAGAGAGTCTCCAGCGCATACGCACCCCTCCTTTCATATCGCCTGGTTCGTGTACGTCCTCCTTGTCCGACGCCGACTGTGCGTCTCAGCAATGCCGATGCGCGTTCTCTGTGGCACACAGGGACATCTCTCACATTCCTGCAGAACACAGACCGCGTTTGAAGGGCTCGCTGATAATTGTCCCTTGCAGGCAGAGTCAATGCATTGCTAGTCATAACATTCTCCTGTGCGCACTCATTGAAACAATGGCCTGTTTGGCTTATGTAAGACGATCAGAACAAAAGGACTATCTCGTAAACACAAGTAGTGAACTTGATGTGATGGTTCTTTTTGTATGATATCTCTTGCTTTGTTCTCGTCAGAAGTGGGCGCACTTTTTAAAATTTGCAAGGTGCAGAAAAGCTGATGCAAATTCTATGCCGTTGTGGGATCTTTCTAAGGTTGTGGGACAGACAAAGCAAATAAGGCATGACAAAAGGTGGTTTTTGATCTAGACGCGTCTCTTGCTAATCTGAGGATTTCAGCTTTTGAAGCAACTTTCAAATGGGCTGCAAATCAGATGTTGCAAATAGCCAGCAGCTACCACAGAAGACAGGTAGGCGTAATGGTGCCACGATTCACAAAAGCCTTACAAGAGTCTATCATACAAAAGTCTACCATACAAGTCTACCCACATTTCTACCAAACAGAATTCTTGTTCCCGTACGGTATCACGCTTGACTCAATAGATCTGCTCTCTGCTGGCTATCCACAACTCAGCACATTCAATAGCCTGTTTCAAAAGCGAAAATTCTTAGATATGCAAGAGAAGCATTGGGACCAAAAGCCACCTTTTGTCAAGCCTTATTTGCATTGTCATTCCTACTCAATGTTATGGAACTTGAGTCGCGATTATTCATGCCTTGTGAACTTACGTTCTGCCTTGCAAAAAAGGTTCTGATGAGAACAAAACAAGAGGTGTCATCCAAGAAGAAGCATCAGATAAAGTTTATGAGGGTGCTATTATTCCCTGTAAAGTCACTTTCACCTATTGGTGAAAGCTTGTCTCACAAATAAGCCGCTCTTAGGTTCAACGTCCACCAAGCGGGAAGTGGTGCTTTGTTCATGTGGAGTGGTGGCGCCAGCTGCACCGCCACGCGGTGGAGAGCCTAGGCTGGTGCACAGAAAAAAAGAAGCAACTTTCTTTTAGCGTTTGACAGTGATCGTAGATAAATTCCTGCAGGAGATCCATGAGAGACGGCAACCGTGAGCCATTTCTTATGATTCCCTTGTGATGAGACGAACATTAGGAACGTCACATTTGTGGTACCTAGTGTTTCTTCATGTTGTTTGCTTGAGGGCTGTATTGGAATATTGTATGATGTTGTTTTAGAATGTCACTAGTGACGTATTTGATTCAGCTTCCAATATCGTCATTGTAAAACCAAATGAATAAATGTGCATGTGTTTGTTGGTTTGCCTGAGCACAACTGCTGTCTTTATGTGCTCCGACTGTTGGGGCATCAACGCCACTCTTCAAGCACACGAAGACAGCAGATGTGGTCTCAGATCCCCACGAGTTCTCTAGTTGCCATTTCAGCATCATTTATATGCTACGCTTTTCATGCGGACGGTCTTACATGCGCCAAACCTGCCATTGTTTCAATTACATAGCATCACAACTGATCTTTACACAATAGCACAGGCAGAAATCTCGCCCTGGATTTAAAGAGATGCAGTAGCAAGATCTGTTTGCCTCATCTAGAAAAGACAAAAATTTTTATCAGAAGTGAAGTTGAGCATTCAAAAAGAAGTCATTGAGGCGTTTTTTCTTGCCAAAAGGGGAGAGCTATATCAGCTCTCCTTTAATATTGTTATGAAGGGATAAAACAGGACTCTCAGATGGACACATCAGGTTGCTTCCGTGTGTGTGATGTGCACGCACTCTTGTTGTTTTTAACTATGTCATTGCGATTATTTCTAGCTCTTATGTTTATTATTTTGAAGAACCTATAAGCCACCTGCTTTCCGCAAATAAAGTCCGTTGGAATTTCTGCGCCCATATTTCTATATGTGTTCCTGTCTTCGTCCAGTCTTCTATGCGCAGTTTAAAACTGTTTAAAAGCATAAGCTCACTAGCCCAACAACATGCGCTGCTTAAGTAAAAGCTTGTTAATTTGGTTTTACAAGACCAAAACAAGTGTTCAACTGAAGAGAATGCTGAATTATCAAAATTATCTGGAAAGCAATGGGAGGGACGCTAGGAGTCGCAGAGTGCGGACGCACGTTGTGTAGGCTCCGCAGTTTTCAAATGATTTTTGTTAAAAAATTGCAAAACTTGGCTAAAGTCTCTACGCCAATCGACGGAGGAAGTTCAGCCGAACACCTGGATACCAACTATTGCAAGGTGGGCCCGCTTTTTCGGCACTGACACCGATAATTCTGAGTCGCCACGAAGATCAAACATTGCGTCTGCCGCCGCAGCGGCGGGGAGAGCTAGGTCCAACGCGTCGACGAGGACGCCTGGGGCGACCCCGGAACGCCTCGACGGCGCGTCTAGCACCACGATGGAGGTTGTAAGCGTGGAAGGAGAAGATATGCAACCGGAGGACTTTACCAACGACGCCGGATGGTGCGAAGTCCGCAGAAGAAACATCACGAAAACATCTGGAGGGATTTCAGGCCCGAAGAGAACCATGCTAAGAGACGCTGCTGCGCCGACGGGCGCGCCTGGGGACAGCAAGTGGAAAGGTGAATGAACCATACGACAAATTGCTAATGCAAGCAGACTTCCTCGTCTACCGGCAGAAGACTACAAAGTGATCGTGCGACCACGAGGAGGACTCAGCGTTTCAGAGCACAGGCAGGCATGCATATACTGCTGCCTGAGAAACGCCGCTGGCGTCGGTCGCGAAGCAGCAGAAGAAGACAGTATATGCATAAACTACAAGCAGAATATCGTGGTCGTCAGCACGCCGTCCGAAGAGCGAGCCAGGCGGTACGGAGCCATCACGAAGATCCGAGTGGGAGAGCAAGAACACGAAGCCAGCGCCTACAGAGCAGCGCCGGAAAACACATCTAAGGGACTCATAAGAGGGATATCCCAAGAGGAAAGTTCCGAAGATATTATAGACAACCTAGTGACAGCAAGAAACCCAAGCATATTACACGCGAAGAGGATGGGCAACACAGACAATGTAATCGTGCTCTTCGACGGACTTCACGTGCCGAGATACGTGAAATACGGAGCGCTCATCGTCCGGTGCTCGCTATACAGAAAACACATTGACATTTGCTACGAATGTGGGAGGCTGGGACACAGGGCGGACGTTTGCCCCAACCCAGACGAAAAAATATGCAGAGGATGCGGCGTGGCCAACCCGCCGCAAGAACACCAGTGTGAAGCAAGATGTCAGCTATGCGGGCAAGCTCACTTTACGGGAGACAGACGCTGCAAGGCAAAGTACAAGATACCGTATTTGGTCCGGTGAAGACGCTGGGAGCGACGAAGAAGAGAAGAAGCGGAGGCCGAAACACCATACGGCATCAACGACTACAACAAACGAGCTGGCAAAGCAACGAGCGAGAACACCCAGGGATCAGAAGGCCATCGCACAGAAGGCTCACCCCCGGGACCATACGAGGGGGACAGTCGGAAGCAGCCCGGTCGCAGACCAAGGTCGAGGACCCGGTCCAGAACCCGTTCGAGAACCCGATCGAGAACCCGATCGAGATCCAGGGCAACGTCAAGATTGCAATCCAGCCGAGGAGCGGTAGAAACTCAGGCACAGGTGAGCTTTGCAGACGCGGTCTCTGGCACTGCTGTTACACCTACACGCGCGGGGTCCGCCTTAGAACAGGAAATAACACAGATCAGACAGTTGTTAGAGCAAATAAAGCGAGAAAACGCGACGCTAAGGGAAGAGGTAAAAATGCTTAAAGTAGAAAACGCTAAGCTTAAGAACCCAAAACACTCAGAGATGACCCATACCACGCCAACACCCATTAGGGCGTCGACACCTCTTCGAGCTCCGGCGACGCCCGTTCCCGCGTTGATGAGTGGAGAAACGCCACCGCATAAACGAAGGGCAAAGGAAAACGCCGATGAGCAAAGCGACTCTACACTCGGAGAAGTAAAAGGCATGTTTCAGGAAATGTTCGTAGGTTTACAGCAGCAATTCATGCAGATGCGCGCGGACCTACAACAGCAGATAACGCAGATGCGAGATGAAATGTCTCAGAGGTTCGACACCCTCGAGGGTAGGGTAGGGCAGCTGGAAAACGTCTCGAAAGACGCCCGACCCGCAGGAGCGAGGCCGGTCAAGAGCAAGCCGTACAGCAGACCACCTGCGGCTGAGAACAGCTGCATAGAAAACTCGAGTAGCCAACATGGCGCCGCCTAATGAATACACGATTTGGCAGTGGAATTGTCGTGGGTTTCGTCGTAAGCGGGGTAACCTGCAGCAATTCGTAAAAACCAAGCAAGCACCAGATGTAATCGCCCTCCAGGAAACTGGGGGGACCGCAAAATTATCAGGATACAAATCATATAGCACTTTAGCTGAAAAAGCAACAGTAACCACACTGATACATCGTAATATAACGGCTGTAGAACACGATACTGGCATACGCAACATAGACCACGTCCTACTAGAAATTCTCCCGTCTCGTAAAAAGGAGGGAAGCTTGTTTGTGCTGAACGTGTACAGTCCACCACGACAAAAGGTAAAGTTTGGCTCGCTTTTCCGCAAAGTGCTAAACGTAGCGGGCAGACAAGCACTGATCGTCGTGGGCGACTTTAACGCACCACACGCCGCCTGGGGTTACACCATCGAAAACGTTAAAGGCCGCAACCTGTGGAACGACGCGCAGCACGAGGAGCTCACGCTAATAACTAACCCACAAGACCCTACTAGAATGGGGAACAGCGTCAGTAGAGACACCACGCCGGACCTTACATTCATAAAGAATATATCCAACCCTCATTGGACCAACACTAACGTAAATCTAGGCAGCGATCACTACATTGTATGCACAATTTTACAAGCAGGTCCGCGTAAAAAGAAAGGTAGAAAAATAATGTTAACCGAGTGGGACACCTTTCGTAAGATAAGAGAGGACGATGCTACAGAGACCATCGAAGATATACAGAAGTGGACAGACACACTCCAGCGTAGCGTGCAGAAAGCCACCAAACATGTTCCCGAAGAGGCAGGAATGGAAGAAATGGACAGCAAGCTCTTACACATGTGGGAGGCAAAACGCAGCCTGCAAGAGCGCTGGAAAGGTCAAAAGCACAACCGGCGTCTAAGAAAAAGAATCGTCGCGCTCGACAGAGACATAGAAGACTACGCAAATAGGCTGTCCCAGCAGCAGTGGGCAGGCATGTGCACTTTAATGAACAGGCAGTTCGGAATGTCCAAAACTTGGAACATTATCCGAGGCCTCCTTGATCCAGAAGGCACGAAAACAACACAAAGACAAAACCTGCAACGGATACTACACAGCTACGCAGGTACAGAAGCAGAGCTCTTACGCGAGCTACGCCAGACATACGTAGGAGATGCCACAAAGGCGCGACTCCCAGAGTACGAAGGGAAGGATAACGTCGACCTCGACGCCTCCATAACAGAGGCAGAGATTCGATACGAACTCGGACAACTCAATCCCAAGTCCGCCCCGGGTCCCGACGGTATAACAAATAAAACACTTCGCAACTTAGATGACGAATCCGTCACTGCTCTCACAAAGTACATAAACGAATGCTGGGAGAAGGGCGCCATACCCCAGCAATGGAAAACCGCCAAAATCATATTAATACCCAAGCCGGGCAAAAAGCCGCTCATCGGAAATCTCAGGCCCATTTCATTGACGTCCTGCATTGGAAAGCTCATGGAAAAAGTAATTTTAACGCGTCTCGTCAGATACATGAACGACAACGAGCTATACCCACACACCATGATCGGCTTTCGACCAAGACTCTCGACGCAAGACGTCATGTTGCAGCTAAAGAATCAAATCATAGACGCCGAAACGCACACCCTGGATACAAAAGCCATTCTGGGCCTTGACCTGCAGAAGGCATTTGATAACGTCACCCACGAGGCCATATTGCGCAACTTGCAAAACCTACACGTAGGTCGGAGAGTGTACGATTACATAAAAGATTTTCTCACCAACCGTAAAGCTACAATCATGGCCGGGGAAGCGGAATCCGAAGAATTCGTTCTAGGCAACAAGGGAACACCACAAGGTTCGGTGCTTTCCCCTTTCCTATTCAATGTGGCGATGCTTGGTTTACCCTCAGAGCTGGAACGCGTCGAAGGGCTTCAGCACAGTATCTATGCGGATGACATCACCCTATGGGTGACGGGCGGGAGCAACGGTCACATAGAAGAGATTTTACAACAAGCAGTAAATACGGTAGAGCGATACGTGGAGAACAATGGCCTAAAATGCTCTCCTCAAAAATCGGAGTTATTACTCTACAGACCTACAAGCAGAGGTCGCAAGCGCATTCACGAACGACACAACATCACAATCTTAGCAGGAGGTTACCCAATACCTCAGGTACAACACATAAGAGTTCTGGGACTCCGAATATCCGAGAACGGACATAACGGGGAAGCAATAAAGTTCCTGGATAACAACACCCAACAAACCATTCGAATGATTCGAAGAATCGCCAACAAAAACTACGGCGTGAAAGAACACAACTTAGTGCAGCTCATCCAAGCCTTCGTCGTCAGCCGCATAGTGTATGTGACCCCATACCTCAAGTTGCAAGTAGCGGAAAAACAAAAGATAGAATGCATAATTAAAAAAGCATATAAGCAAGCCCTCGGATTACCGATCACCACGTCTAACGAAAAGTTCGAAGCGTTAGGAATGCATAACACGCTAGACGAACTTATTGAGGCTCATATGATAGCGCAATATGAACGACTCGCGCAAAGCAACACGGGAAGACACATCCTGCACAAACTTGAAATAACGTACGCTGGCCAAAGCGGCAATAAATACGATATCCCAAAAGAAACCAGAGAGCGCATCATAATACCTCCGTTACCCAGAAACATGCACCCCGAACATCACCGGGAGCGGAGGAATGCAAGAGCGAGAGCACTGCACAAGAAGTTTCAACATGACGCGGACGTGGTATATGTAGATGCAGCCGAATATACAGACGGTCGACACATGGCAATAGTCGCTTCAAATCAAGCGGGCCACCTGCTTGCTAGCGGCACCATTAAAACAGGAAATTCGGAAATCGCTGAAGAAACGGCCATAGCGCTGACGCTTGCGTCCACAAGGGCCAGCGTCGTAATCAGTGATTCTAAAACCGCGATTCATAACTTCGCTAACGGAAGGGTCTCGAAATAGGCGTTAAGATTCTTAAATAACTTTCGCGGAGAGCGCGACGTTTATGTTATATGGACGCCCGCCCACTCCTCCCTCCCGGGCAATGAAACCGCACACACCCTAGCTCGAGAGTTAGCGAGCCGAGCAGGGGCAGGAATGACGCGGAGCCCGCGTGCGGAGAGAGACCGCATGTTCAGTTACAACGAAATTACCAAGCACTACAGATTAGGGAGGCAGCATTACCCGCCACCACACTCCTCATTAAATAAGCAGCAGGCGACAGCGTGGCGCCTATTACAAACAAACACGTTCCCAAACCCAATCGCTTATAATCATTGTTACCCGGACCTCTACTCAGACAGATGTAAACACTGCAATCAGCGGGCGGACCTCAAACACATTATCTGGGCTTGCCCCAACATCGTGAAGGGGCCAAACACATACATGAATACGGAGCAGTGGGAGACCGCGCTGCTAAGCTCAAGCATCGAGGACCAACTACAGGTCATCAGGCAAGCCGAAGATGCCGCTAGGGCCCAAGGACTCCTAGCTGCCATCTAAGGGAGGGGAGTCAACTCCTCTAACACTTGCCGTTTCAATAAAAGTTGTTTCTCTCTCTCTCTCTGGAAAGCAATAAAAAAATGTCCCTTACATCAATGTTAATTCATTTTCTGTATGAATATATAAATTTTGTACTTATTTTACATAACAGCAGTTGAAAAGCTATACTTCTTATGTTTCTGCTGGTTCAATCTGAACAGAACTATGGCGCTAGACCCCTGTGTTTATTATCTTGAAACATGCCTTATACCACACCCTATTATGCACCGTCACAACAATCATGCGCCCATAAGGATAGTTTTTTTAGCAGTTAATATGACGGCAACTGACGGTTTGTCCATCACTATGAAGCAAATTAGTTTTATGCCAGCTTACTGATTGCGTTAGAAAGTTCCTCATCTTCTGCTGTGTTTGAGTTTTGTGGCATTGCACATACATTATGTCAAGTTAAAGTGATGCTGCTGAGGGCCTGATTCATGTGTGGACTGAGTAGTGGTCACTAACTGATGTCCATAGTGATGTGGACATTGGTGTCTTTTTTAGGTTGTCTTCTACCGCACTATTTTGTGTTGCACATTTTTGGTATGTTGCGCTCGGCACACTCCGAGAATCATCCGAATTCACAAGAGTTTTATCCCAATAAACAATACATAAACTGTCCGGGACCAAGGAACAAGTTCGCATTATCAGAGTATCTGATTCTGTGTGGTGTCTGATTACCTGAATTTATGGTGGTTAAATGAATGAACGTTTCTGCACAATGACTGACGACTTGGCTGATGTGCCACATTCCAAGACCAACGTAAAAAGTATTGTATTTCTTTGCTCTAAATGAATACAACTAAAAAATATTATATGCATTTTGACTTACGATTCTATTCTTTTCACGTAAACGTTTGGCTGCAGAATACATAAATATGTATTCAATTACATGCTAGTTAGAATTAAAGGGGTGGTGCTACCAAACTTGTGGCACGTGTGTTCCTTGTTGTAAACATTTCCTTCATCTCCAAGAAGCATGATACAAGCACCAAAATTCATGTACTTTCGCTAAATAATTTAATATTGCTCTACTTATGTGGACCATTTTCGGTTTCAGTTTCCCCGCGCCGAGTTGGACAGTGACGTCGATGCATAAGTGGCTTGGTCATGTGATCACACAAAGCTGTGAAGCACATCGTGCTGAGTTTGCTCTGCTCTCACACACACAGGCCACACAAGCGCCAGCAAACCACTGATTGCCTTCGCAGGTTTTGATGCATAGCACTTGGCCAAGAAGCAATTGAAACTCGGCAAGTAATACAGCAACTGATGCTTTGCTGGTACGTTGGGTACGCTCGCTTCGGAGATAGCGGAGGTCACTCACGTCTCCACAGATCTGGTGTGACATCACGACAAGTACCGTTGCTTCTATTCTGAAGCGTCAGTGTTGCTGCGCAAGTAATGGGCCTAGATCGCGTGAGTGAGCATTCAGCTACACTTTTAGAAGTGAATTAAAGTACATTCTATGCATTCCTTGTGTCCGACCCTTCGTGTGGAGATTCCTTGTATACAGAGGAAATTCACAACAGGCTTGGGATAGCTTCGATATTTGGTGGCACTACCCCTTTAAATACAAAAGGCTCGTACAACATAGCATATTACTTTATTTAATTTTTTTGTAATATATTGGAACGTAATACGAGTGCCTTAAAATTCTGTTGTGCGAATATGACACTACACAGACGATCATAATTAGCAGCCTAAGGGTATAGGGCCAGAGTGTTGTGAACGTGCATTTGTGCAAGTGGTCATGCAGTGCGTGAACGTCACTTAATCCAATGTGCTAACTTGGCAGACCCTACAAGTAGCGGATTGGGATGCCCAAACAAGGGTCTGGGATGTGTCGTGGTAGAAGTGGGACGCCCACGGGCAGAATAATTTATAGAGTCAATTAGACTGGGCAGAAATCCTTCAACTTGGTAATTATGATGATGGGGCATTTGATTTGCAGGCACTGACCTGACATTCTCGAGCTATGGAGAGATAGTAGCAGCCATCGTCAATGCATTTGTGCCACCCAAGCCCTTACACCAGCTGCTGAGGCACCCTCGGTCATTTGACATGATGCGCACCATCCGTGTGATTGAGGGCTACCATCAGGTTCCTACCATGCTGGGCCTGCCACTGAACTGGACCACCAGCGCTACCCTGGTGGCTTCACTGAGAACCGAGGCACACCAGATCAGCCCAAGCAATCTTGCTGTCCAAGTGCACCCCAGGTTCGTTTTCCTAAAGGTCAAACGTGCAATAGTTAACCACATTTGTAATGCCACAAGGCTATTTAATCAGCAAGCTCTCGTGTCCGTTCATGTGCTAATAGATGACCTCAATGTCATCAATAAATTTGAGTGGACACCACTTGGGTCCCCAAAATCCCACCACACTCAGTATGTTCAAACAACACAAAAAGATAACAAATAAGAGACAAAAGATCAGACCATCCAAGAAGTGGCATAGAAAAATAGGTGAGATGGCACAAGCGGTGCATGGAAGTGAGTGTTCACTAGAAAAAGACAGTTTCAGAATTTACAGGATGTGGGGTCATATCAGAGGCTTTGGTGGCAATGCATCGACTACCTCGCACAGACGGCTATGACCGAGATGGGGTAGAGACACTCACTTGTGTAAGGGATGGAAGTGTCGGGTGAGTCGAGATCAATGACCTTTTGGTGTTTTGGTGTTCGGCAGCCAGAGCTTGGATACGAAATCAGAGATGTAGGGCTAGTTTGGCCAATGCCGAATGATTAGAACAAGCATAGCCAATGCCAGATGATGTAGAGAAAACCCTTGTCCAAGTTAGTCCGCAGCGACCTTGATGCAGAAGCTCTGCTGGCTGCCATTCTTGCGTCCTGGGCACCTTCTTCACTCGGTGCCGACTTCGCCATGTCTGCTAAATCTGCTGTTATGCACCGGTTGTTTTTCTTCACCATCTCGGTGGACGCTCTCCATCGGACCAAAAGTGGCCACGCCCGCACTTGCTACGGTCACGAGTCACCTTCGACGTCTTCCTTCAGTTTTTGTTTGTTTCATACACTTTTCAAACATGCATTCATTCATCATACCTGCTCAGTGTTGCCTGTGCAACCTCAAGTTGAAAGAGACAAGTGTCTTCACATTACCTGGACACAGCATGCAGCTTGGTGATCTCGCGAATGTGATCTCGCGAATGTGATGTATCACGGGTTTTCTGTCATTGGCAAATGAAATGTGCAGAGGGTGATTCAAATATAACTAAAGAGTAAACATAAAAATTATTCAAAACAGTCACTTCGAACACAAAACCTATATGTAAGGTTTCTAATTACACACATTATTTACATGCAAAAAAAAGAAAATAAGCACTAGTCGTACTTTGCCAACGCATGAAGCGGTTTCTCAATGCAGGGAAACAAAGGTTGGCTGCTCATTTTTGACAAAAAACATAATTTTCGGCTCAACTTTTTTTTTTATAGCATAGTTTACAGTTCTGGTATTTATAAATATTTTGTAGTCGATGCTGGCCACCCTGAGGCACCTTCCTGTGTTTACGCTGGAAGGAACAGTGTAGTACTTCATGTTCGAGTCTGCCCTAGCCCATAAATTGTATCCACATTTGCCCACTTTGCCCTCCATGTACTCACTAATGCCAGACTGACACTTAGACATCACCGTGTTCTCATCCAGAGAAAGAGTCTGATGCAATTCAAAAAGAAAAAAATAACAGGGGGAGAAGATGAATGCTCATGCTTCGCAGTAGAGGGGGCACGTGGGGAAACTTCCTGTTAGATGTGACGTTCATTTTCTCTGGATCAGAGACACCACTCAAGAAGGCAAGCAATGCCTTGAACCTTTTTTGGGGCATCACTGATGGTGGAAGAAGCTTTAAAACATTGACTTGAATTGAACTGAAAGTTTATTTGCCCTGAAAAAAAAAAACTTACAGGAGCAGAGACTAAAGGCTATACAGCCTGACAAAGGGCCTCTGCTCCTAAATACAGTTTGGCATGCAGGCCACAGAGCATCTGCATATCTAAGAAATATTTGGAATATATTATTGCACAAAAATACAGCAAACATCAGCATAGTTTTACTACGCAGTGTGAAATAAACATAAAAGAAATTAATCACAAAGCAACATTTCAGCAGACCTGAAAATACAACAGCACAACATGAAACAACAGCACAACAACAAAATGCTAAATGAGGCCTTCGCAGCATATTGTAAAATATTAGAAATCAGAGATAGAGAAAGACAAGATATTAGACAAGATATTAGAAATCAAACTTTAGATAGCGTACTCAATATCATAAAGAATTAGTATGGTTTTGATAATGGTGTTAGAAGGTGTGCAGTTGTGATCTAGAAGACCTTGTAGACGATTTAACATTGTAGGTATTTGGTATTGAACGTGTTGTTTGTCATAGTTTGTCCTAAGTGTTGGCGTTTTGTGGTGTTGCTGACGCGTGTGGTAATTAGTACTTCCAGGTGTGTTCTGAAGAGATTGTGGCTTATTTTGCTTGACCCATTGCAAAAGTCTGAAGTAAAGGTAATACAGTTGTGTTCCGTTTAACATTTCATATTTTTCAGAGAGTGGTTCAGTTTTCAAGTCTCTGATAATGCCGTGGTATTGCTCAAATGCTCCTAAGACTCTTTTCTGGAGAACTAGTAACTTTTTATAGTTTGTGTGATAGTTTCTCATACTAAGATAGAGTATGTCATTTTAGAATAGAAAAGTGCATAATATAATTCTACTTGTAACCTATTTGGCAAAACTGCACTGAGCTTGTATAAGCATCCCATGGTTCTACTAAGTTCTATCGTTTATTTATCTACATGTGTATTCCATGTCAAGCCTTGGGTAAACCATACGCTCAAAAACTTTTGGCTTGTGACCTGCTCTATCTCGCTGCCCTCAAATAAAACAGTCGGACTGTAGCTATGCGGCTTCTTAGGTGGGGCAAATACTATGTATTTCGTTTTATTAACGTTTAGTTGCAATTTATTTAAACTAAGATAACCCGACAGCTGATATAAGTAGTCATTAATCTGGCGTTCAAGCACTACAATGAATGTACTACTGAAGAATATGTTAGTGTCATCTGTGTACATTATTAACCTGGGTGAATGTGGGATATCACACAGGTCATTTATACTATAAATTATGAATACCAGAGAACCAAGTATTGATTCTTGCAGTACTCCTCTTATTATATTTTCGTAAGAGGATGTGCTGTTGTTTATACAGTCATGTTGATAGCGGTTTGTTAAATAGTCTTCTCAATAATTAAAGAACAACACGTACTTTGTGGCATACAGAATCAAATGCCTTGCTAGAATCTATGAACAAACCAAATGAGTACAGTTTATATTTGATATTTTTAATTAGTTCATGTTTAATATTTAGCAAAGCTGCTTCAGAGGGTATATTATTTTGAAAACTGTAATGAGCCTCATTGATCACATTATACTTGGTAAAAAAATTATAAAAACGGATGTTTATTGCATTCTCAAATACTTTTGATACAACAGGAAGGATGGATATTGGCCTGTATTTAGTTATTTGCCCTTTATCCCCACCTTTAAAGACAGGACATGCTCTTGCTACTTTTAAGGGGTCTGGAAAAATGCCAGTCTGGAACATTCTGTTTATTATATGCACAATGACTGGAGCTACAATATCAGAACATATTTTATTGGAGTTGCCTTTATGTCGTCAAAACCAGCTGCTACAGTATTGTTAATCTCATTTATCAATTGTATTACTCTGATGTCACTGCAGATGGGGACACAGAGTTTGTAAGACTGTATTTTTTTAATATAATACGAGGAACTGTATTGCTATGGTTTTTGTATTCAGCACTGGTCACAAAATACTCATTCATCTTATTCGCTGCTTCACTATCAGATAAGGTGCTCTAGACTGGAGACAAAGTGGTGGGGCTTGTCTCTCTTGCATTAGATTTTTTACCTCATTCCACACCTTCCTAGAGTACCGTAATTTTTTATTTTCATAAACAGCTTTTCATAATATACTTTTTTCACTCGCTTTAACTTGGTAGTCAACCTGTTACGACATTGTTCAAACTTTGAAAACGCTTCCAAGTTCCTTGTCCGAACAAATGTGTGGTACAATTTATTTTTTGCCTTAATCATTTTAAGTAGTTTTCCGTCGGTCCACGACTTTCTTGCCCGTTTGTGTTTCATATTTTTCAGAGTCATAGGAAACGCATGATTGTACCATGCTTTGAATTTCTTAAAGAATACCTCGTATGCTACATTGGGGTTTCCTTGTTCAAACATCCATGCCAACTCTATTGAATGAATATGTGTATGAAAAACTTTCAAACCTGCGCCACTGATGCTGTGAGATAAGGCTTCCACAGGGGTTGTGCATTTCACTTGCGCGTTTGGCAGTAGACAAAAGACTGGTAAATGGTCGCTTAAGTCGACTGTTAGCAGTCCAGCGATACAGTCTTGTAAATGAATGTTTGTTACACATATGTCAAGTAACGTAGCGCTGTTTTTTGTTAATCTTGTGGCTTCTGTAATAAGATTAGTGCACGTGAAGGAATGAATGATTTCAGCAAACTTTTTAGCAGCAGTGTCACCTGATAACATATTTTTGTTGACATCCCCAATTATTACACAAGGCATGGGAAATTGACATAGAAAAGAAAGCACATGCTCCACATAGTCAGAGAAGTGTAATTTGTTACTCATTGGTGGTCTATACATAACAACCACTATTAACTTCTCCAAACATACCGACAAACACAATTGTATTATTTATTACTGAAAACTCAGACATAGTTTCATAACTTATTGACCTATTAACATAAATTCCTATGCCACTCCCCAGCCACTTGAACGCACCAGACCATTGTACATGTAGTCATGAAAATGAAGTGGTTTTTCAGTTTCTGCTGGCCAAGTTTCCGTGTACATCAAAATATCAAGGCTATGGATGATCGAAGCATACAAGTCACTGAGTTGTTTCTTTTTATTTCTAATGCTATGCGTGTTTAGGTGCAATATTTTAAAGTGTTTAGAAGTACTTGAAACAGTTTTGTTAAAAAAGGTGACATCGTAATAGCTACACGCTTCAGGAAAGTCCATTATTTACGTACCCACGTACACACACAGAGAAAATAAGGCACACACTATGTTGCATCGTTCATCTTCTCAATATCACTAATGCATGAAACCTTCAACACCAGAAAGTCTTCATTTTTTCTCGCAAACACTTTGCCTTCCCCTGTCCACATAAATTTCTATCGTAGTTCCTTTTTTTTTGCACCGTGGCATCGAGTAACTGCTCGCCAAAGCAGATTAGGTGCTCATTCACATTAACCCTGGAAGTAGAGTGGAACTCTATAAGTGTTTTTGCATCCAGTTTTAATTTCTTTGCTTTACTGAGAAAATCATTTCTCTTTGTTCTACAGAAGAACATGTATTCGCAATGAAGGCACGAGATAGCATTGATTTCCCAGTACACCAGAAGTTTGACAAACATGTGAATCTCCCCCGAACAATTTCCCTCCAGGATTCGTCGCTCTTAGTGTGTGTGTGTTGGGTTGTCGAAAGTATGCATTCACCTATACTTATTTGTCTAGTCAAAAGAAAAGAAGCCACCTCATGGCATTCTGTAGCGCTAGGTCTGGAGTGCCGTGAGAGTGGAGTTCACCCTGTGCTGTCTTCGCCGAGAGCTCTCTGCTCTTTCTGCAGCCGGTGCTAAACGCTTCTACCTAAATTAAGTTGATACCTTGCAGATAAAAGCTGTGACCTTTAGTATAAATCGGATATGTTTACATGAACGCGTGTCAGCAATAAAACAGCCTGAGGAGAGAGCAAAGCTCACTGTTGATGTTCCTGGGCGGTTTAGCACACTGTCGCTGTTCGTGCTGACGTCTGATAATTCAAAATCTTCTTACGTACCCGTGCTGTGACCATTATCTGCAGCTTGATGCTCAGATTTATTGGAATTCATTTTAAGTAGCCGTTTTCGTAAAGTGCACGTAAACGATGCCAACACAATAGCAGTAACCACAAGCGCTTATCTCCCCGACTCTGAAGAAGCTGTAAAAACCCTTTTGTGGCAAAAAAATAAACTCAAAAACGAAACTGATAGAATGCTTCACCTTTTACCCTTTAAATGGCATTAGCTGCCCAGAGGCACTCGGAGAGCACTGAAATTTGAACCTGAAGCCATCGTTAGCACACGAACAATCACAAAATGTGCAGTCATGAAAGCATTATTGTTGCTTCCAATGTCGAACTAAGCTGTGCAAGTGCACTCGTTTGCTCACCTGTGTTCTGCTGAGTCGTTCTATAATGTGTGTTTTATTCTCAATGTGAAAACTTTGTTCTCATGTATTTTTTTATTTTTCTGTTTCGTTTTCTGATGGTTTCTTCGTGTAACTTGATTTTTAAAAAATCATGAACTTTGGCCCAAATTACTAGCTCTTGTTTTGACAGGTACACTAACAGTGTGAATGAAATAAATGAATAAATAAAGAGAAATTTCACTTGTTTGTAGCTTTCTTTACATTTCTTGTTATGTTCTTGGTAGTATGCCTGTCTTCCGTAGCATCGATCCCTACCTATCTTCATAATTGTTGGCTCTTGCTTGCTTTTTTTTTTCCTGTGGCAGTGGAGCCCTGACCTTCTTGAACGGCATGGTGCTTGACTTCCCGACCAAGACACGAATTGGCATTCAAGCCAACAGCTCTGCCTATACAACCACTCAGCTCAAAATGTTGCTCAGTATGCAACAGCGATCCGTTCTCTTCGAGGTAGAAGTTCCGAGGAAAGAGCAGAAGATACTTCAGCTTTTGTGAGTTGCACTTGAACACTGCACTGAACAGAGTGCTGTGCTTTCTTAAATACAGGCTAGCTGTGCAAGTACAAAAGAGGAAAAAGGAAGACAGGATGAACCGTGGACTTCCAACTTTTTATTTTAGGGCCAGGAAGCCCGGCATGTATATCACAGCTATTAAAATGCACACAAAACCAAAATTTTTTGATATTGGATAACCACCGTGATATAATGAGCATTAAAAGATGGCACTAAAAGGAAAATAAAAAGTGTTAATGAAAATAAAAGACATTTCGGCTTGGTTTAAAAAGCCTTGCTCACTTTACCAAAGTGAACTAAAACAAATTAGACTTTTATACCCAATCTGAAGCATTTTTTTATTTGTTTTTATTTTTATTTTGGTTGGTACCTCATGTTTCATCACAACCAGATGGGCTTCTGTCAAACCTTCGGCTTCATCATTGTTTCACGTGAAGAGCTTGACTTTGTAAACTGGAGACAAAAAAAAATTCTAACAGCTATAGGCTTCTTTTTAGAAGCGGGTAACAAATCTTTAAGTCACAGTTGCCCAAAGGGTGGCACAGTTCTGTAGAACACAGCTTAAAAGGAAGTCATCAGTACTGAATAGTTGATGCACTGTGTTTACTCTAATAAAGTTCAATTAAATTTATTTTGACATCACGGAAGACATTGGAAAAATCACAGGACAATGATGCCAAGACATGAAAGTGAAAGGCTATTTCGCACCATTTGATAGCATTGCAGCAGCAGCATAGGATCATCAGTCATTATAATATTTCAAGAACATGCCTTGCAGGATCATATTGATTTGCATTTTAAAACACAAAGAAAAAGTTAATTGAAAGGAACAGTATACAAATGTGTTATTGTTAAAAACTGTTTCACGCTTGTGGTAGTAAGTATAGCTCATCATTTGGTGACCACAGTTAGTATGTGCGCAACAGACATATGAACTAGTAGCCTGAACTCGGGATGAGACTTGTAACATGGTGCATTTACCTATTTTGCGTACTTAGATTTGAAAAAAATAACCGATATGATACTCGTTTACAATACTGTGTCATCTCAAATGCTTCACCAAAGTTCTCACTGAACTCTTCGTCAACGGCATGGCTTTAAGCAAGACAATGAGCTATCAGTATTATCAGAACTTCAGGTAACGAAAAGTAATGTGATTTTTTTGTTTGCCTTGAATGTCTTGGTTTGTGGAATCTCAATATATTCACAGTTGTTGCAAAGTAAAAAATGTTGTAAATTTTAATCATGCTTTTTGATTTGTAAATGCTTGTATGAAATAGAGAAATTACTTCCTACTTTTCATATATATTAACTTCCTGATTTAAACTTGAGGAGCATCATTCAAATCGATGCACTTGTTATCAGGAAACACAACCGCTGTATTTCTATGTGTTGATATTTGAGCTGCATAGGTATAAAACGTACTTACAGCACTGAACAAAATGTTGCAGATCAGTTGTACAGGTGAGCACAGGTTGAAGAAAGGTTCATAAAAGGAAAATGTCAATAATCTGTCTGAGGCTTCAAGCTTTTTCAGAAAAGAAGCCTACCACATTATCTGTGACCACGTCAAGCTTTTCATCAACTTGAAAACTTTCTTAAGGAATTATGTTGTTCGAGGTATAGCGCATCCAGGACGGGACAGAGAAGAAGACACAGAACACATACACGGTGCTTACATACACATACACACATATTAGCGCTGTGTATGTGTTCTGTGTCTTCTTCTCTTTCCCATCCAGGATGCGCTATACCTCGAACAACATGAATAACCAACAAGCCCGCCGTGCAACCTTAGTCGACTTAAGGAATTAGTTTATTCATAGCTCTGTGGTACAAAAGAGTGTGGACAGTATTATGCTTTCATGGAACGCAGATGAACAGGGCTCATTTTTCTTGAAGGCTGTTCAGTAGAACTGAACTGCCTGTTGACAAGTAGCTGTAGGAAAGAAGCGGAAATCTAAGGGCTCGTTTTTGTTTTGTGGAAATATATCAGCGCACAAGGTAGAAGGAAGAGCACTTGACAGAAAAAAACGCTTCTACCTTGTGCGCTTATATATTTCCAAATTATGTTGTACCAACTGGCCCAGCATTCCACTTTATCGTTTTTGTTTGACACAGTATCAGTTGTCATTAATGTGCTCTGTCATGTAAGACAATCATTACCATAAAGAAATAACTGATTTATTCGTTGGTGCTCAATATCAAACCTTTGCTTCGAAAGCAAGTGTTGTAGCTGCTCATCTAAGCAGCCATGCCAGCAGAATGTCAATATACTAAAACAGCGTGTTGCACTTGTGATGCCAGACAAATGTATAAAGAGACTGTTTTCTGTGGAGGCTTCACTGAATTTTGTAGTTGTGAAATGAAATTCCTGTCCAGGACAAGGCGTGAAGCTGACATGTAGATAGGTAAACATAAAGAAAATGTATATTTTGCAAAAATTAAAGTGATTGCAGCTTCTGCCTTCTGTGGGGCAATTAAATGCTCATGAATGCTAGCATAAAGAAAGACAGTGTGCCAATGCTGCTCGAAAACAGTGCCCCAAGGAAGGTGGAACAACTGAACAGAACTCCTTGCTTACCAACTGCATAGATGTTTAAACAATGCTCTGTGGGGAGATTTTTCCTTACTCTCTAATTTTCATCCATGCTGACGGCCATGGCTGATAATGCTTCAATGCACCTTTTCATTTCAGGCGCACTAATCAAATAATAAAACATAATCGTGTTGAAGAAATGGGTGACTGGAACATTCAACGTGTCAACATTGACTGGTGCACTGGTGGTGGCCTTGGACGGGCCAGTGGCCTGCAGTTCTGTCACAACCGGTCGTACGCCAACGTCACTCACCTGATGAGACCGTGGTTCCTAATGACTGCTCCTGCAAGTTGGCAATTTGGGGTCAAGCCATACAGCAAGTAAGTTCATCTTCGCTTGTCACTCTGTTGGGCCTCGATTTATTGGGATAAAAGGGCCACTCACCAATATGACAGCGTACTTTTAGTCTCAACAAAGCATATACACTAGCACCGCATTCATACATCAGGGAAAAAAAATGCGGGAAAAAATACACGATCTGGGAAAACATGCAATCCGAATTCACTGAAGCATTTTGCAGGCTCACTTGATAATAATGTTGCAAGCATCGGCATTGGTGCATTGTAATAAATATGAATGCGTAGTTGAGGTTCTACTGCATTTCTCCTTCTATATTATTGCTCTTACTGCTCCTACTTGTTGCACTGACTTCTTTACAACTCTTTTACAGTGAAGCTGACTTTATCTATCTTGTGTCGTCGAATTAGTAGTAGTGGTAGTCGCAGGCACCACACAGGTCACATTATCTGACGAGGCAGTGAATCAATAAGTAAAACAAAGTAAATTTCTTTAGTGAGGCAAGTCGTGAACACGGTCCCTTGCGATATGAAGTCAAGTTGAACCCTAATTTATGGGAAGCATATGGATGCATTGTACTGGCAAACACAATTGAAAAGTTTGACATTTGCTGTGGGTGCTTCATTAAATATTTTCTCAAAGTTTAGATAAAAGCATAAACCTAGTGGTGCTTTCGATACAAGGTAATCTGAAAGTAATGCACAGTTGATTAGTAACTGCAATAAACCAAGGCAAGGCACCTGGGCATATAAGAGGGTCGTGTAGGTAACAGGAAGCATTCAGCTGGCAAAGTTCTACTGCGCTGGCAGCAATTCATGTGATGCGAGGTGCTCATCGAAATGCTAAGGCTTAGGTCGCATGACCTCCCATCACGTGGCACAAGGTGTTCACTGAAATGCCATTCTTTGTGTGGCCTCGCTTTGACCAATCAGGTGCAATCACATGCATCTACTGGTGGATTTATGTCACCATATGTGATCTCGCTGGCAATCGATCACTTGTGCACTTGACAGATTCCCTGTCTGGCATTTGTTACGGTATATAACTGCTTGTAATATTTTGTTTTTTCTTGCCAGTTCATAGACAATTTTCATTTCGTTTATCATAAAATGGAAATAATAATTTGTTATAATTGAATAAATCTATATATTTGGATGTACAAAATATTTATTAGTCAGTGCAGCATAGAGTTTATATTGGTCCAGTAGACTTTTTTTTTAGCTTTATTCAGCCCAAAATACATTTAAATTGTCTACTTATTACTGTATGGATAATGTGTGTTTGTCTATTCGTAATGTTATTGTGCTATCAAAATACCTGTTTGACCAAGTATCATTTGGGACACTTAAAAGAAAAAGCTCTTTGGCCTTATAATGTCTTACCAAGCTGCTTTTGTTATTTGCATGAGGGAAACAGAACTAATGTATAGCTTTTAGCTATGAGCACATTTGTAAAGTTACCCCGGTGTTTCTATCCATAGTGATTTTTCCTATCTTGGGAAAATTTGACTGTCATTTCATCGTGCCAGGACACTCTCCTATAAATTTGCCTTGACATGTATGTGTTTCAGTGCACGTTACAGAAATATGTTGCAGTCAGTACTAAGGCCTTGCTTAGGTACACTTGACTGTGGTGCGAAATACATTTCATAATGTAAGTGGGGGTAGAAGGGAAGCACCGATGCTTCGCTTTCTTCCCTTTTGTCATCACTTACTTCACGCAATATATTTTGCTCCATAGTCAAGTGTGCCTAAGCACACGTTACAAAACCCCTGGTGGTTGATATTTCCGGAGCACTCCACTACAATGTCTCTCATATTCATAGGACGGTTTTGGGATGTTACACCCCACACATCAATCAAGAGCACCTAAGCATCAACTCACCCCTAAAAAAGCATCCTCTTGTACTGCAAAGCAATAAGGTGTGCCTCGTGAATATCTTATTATTTTATTTCTCTTTCTTTCTTAGCTGATTGTAATTGACGTTTATTTTATTATTCATAATGATAGAATTCATAACTACAGAAACAAGGACAAGTGTACCCCAATAATCCTTATTAGAACGTCTTCTATTAAATTGTACAATACTCTAATAAATTCACCAAACACCTTTATTATTCTAAAAGATGTCACCGACTTTTAAAATGCTGTCAATCCTCATTTACAATAGTTTTCAATGTAAGTTTTTCAGTACCAAGTAGAATAAGCGACCTTGCTCATTTTTTTTTAGGGGCGAAGCTCCTTAGGGCATGGGCTGTGCGTCCCCTGTAGACTGTATGTAGCCACCTCTAGTTTAGTTCTTGCAGTGTTCACTAGATGGCGGTACCGTCTCCTGTATGTAGCCACCTCTCGTTTAGTTCTTGTAGTGTTTACTAGATGGTGGTACTTGTAGCTGATGATGAAAAGATGCAAGATGTTATAAACTAGAAAGCGGTACTTGTACTTGATGAAAGACGCGAGATCTTATAAAATAGGAATGATGTCACATATGGCGCGTGTCATTGGTTGAAGGCAATCGTTCGATTTAGTGCGGCGACGTACGCTAGGGGGAGCGTTGTAATAAAATCCGTTCGCTGTTGGCGCGCGCTCGGAGTCGCCAGATGGATAAGGCTGCACAGCGGAGAGAGCGCAAGGCGGCAGCAGCGCGCGCTCGCAGACAGAATCCCGATGTGCGAGCGCGCGAGGCAAGGGACATCGCAAGCCATCCATCGTCTAAGAACAAATAAAAGTTGATTTGTGTATATACACACACAGCGTTTCTCACGTCTTTACATGATCATCGACTGGGCGAATTACACGGAAGATTCACAGTTTACCGATGAATCCCTCCGGAGCTTCGCCCATTCATCATCATTGACCCCGTGAATATGCCGTAATTTTTTGTATTCCATCAATTGTCATTGCTTCTCTTTTTTTTTTTGACCTTCTGTGAGGGTTGAGTCTATTATAAAATTTAAAATATAGTATTTACAGTTAAAGTTCTCTGAAATGATTTCAGCGGTGATTACACAGGTTCCAGCTAGCAGGCAGAAACAATTCAGTGAACAAGCTTGAAACAGTTTTTTTTACATGCAATGATTTTTTTTTTAGTTGCACAAATTTTTTGAATTTTTTTATTTACAGATACTGCAGGTTCTTCTCAGGCCCACACAGGAGTGAAAACAAACAAATACATTGACAGAAATTTGACATACAACTTGACAATACATCAGTGTTGCTTGACGTAATTTTAAAACGTACAACACACATAAGAGGAGGCATAAATATGCTTACACAATCGCGTGTAATCATATGATACGGTATGCATACATTAAAATTAACACAATGATAATGTCTTCCAATTTTGTAACGACACTTTAACCAAAGCTTATATTACAAATACGCTGAGAAAACAGCTCTAATGACACAGAGTTGACCGTCTCTTCAGGTAACATATTCCAATAAGAAATTGCTCGAGGAAACAAAGAAAACTTATGCAAATTAATGTGGCTAATCGGTTGCCTAAAAGCCTTACCGTGATAAATTCTCGCTGATCGTTTGAAAGGCTCTTGGATGTAGCGTTTCCGCGACATATTGAAGTGACCGTAGTAAAGCTGATAGAGGAATTTCAATCTAGATATGACCCTATGCTGCTCGAGTGTTTGAAGGTTTGCCCTATTACGTAAAGTGGTTACACTCGAGTGACGCGAATAAACAGAATAAATGAAGCGCAAAGCTAAATTGTGCGCTATTTCAATTTTACTTATTAAGTATTGTTGGTAAGGGCTCCAAATGACATCTGCATACTCCAACGTAGGTTGCACTAGTGACGTATAAGCGTTTATATTCACAGGAGGAGGGGTACTGCGCAACTTTCTTTTCAAAAATATTTCTTAAGTGCACCCTGACAAATGTTATTAATGTGTGTTTCCCAACTGAGGTTGCTTGTAAGTGTGATGCCTAAATATTTAACCTTATCGGACCTGTTGATCGTAGCATTACCTAAAGAATAAGTGAAGCCGAGAGGCCTCTTTTTGTTATTGAGTGTAATAGAAGCTGTCTTAGTAGCATTTATTCTTAAAACTCACTTTGTACACCATGTCTTAATTGAGTGCAAGGCATTGTTTAATTTAATTTGGTCATCTCGGGTTTTAATAGCTGTGTATACCATGCTGTCGTCCGCAAATAATTTAATATGGATAGGGAGTTCAACAATAAGATAAATATCATTTATATATACTAAAGAAAGTAGAGGGCCCAATACCGAGCCCTGCGGGACTCCAGAGTACACATCCAACTCTTCAGAGATACACTCATTAATGGCAACACACTGTGTTCTAATTCTTAAGTAACATACTATCCATGCGACTACTTTCCGTTCAATGCCAATTGAGAGAAGTTTTGTAATCAAATCGGAATAAGGTACAACATCCAACACCTTTGACAAATCTAGAAATATAGCGTCGGTTTGACCATTAGTATTTAGTGTACTAATTGTCATCAGTTATTTCAGATAGTTGGGTAACAGTTGACAAACCAGATCTAAAACCATTCTGTTTGGAATTAAACAAATTGTTATAATCGAGGTAAGTAATGATGGCCTTATAAATAATATGCTCGAAAAGTTTACAACAAGTACTTGTTAAGGAAACTGGTTTGTAGTTGCTAATTTCTTCAGAAGAACCAGATTTATGCATGAGAATAATCTTTGTCGAGCGCCAATCATCAGGAATAGTCGAAGTGCATAGGGACGAAACGTAAATTTGATGCAGATATTTAGCTACCCATGCAGCATATCTACTTAAAAAAAGTATTGGACAGTTGATCGAGGGCAGCTGATTTCTTCACGTCTAGTTTATGCAAAAGGTTGAAGACACCATCCTCTGTTATTTCTACTTCAGGCATAGGACAATCAAAAATGTATGACGGCAGCGCTGCATGCAGAGCTGTCCACGTGAACACAGATTGAAAAAAGGCATTAAATTTGTTAGAAATGGTATTCTAAGCAGTTCTCCTATGTCTTTGTGAACACAACATAGAAGAACTGCTTACATGCATGTGTGGAAATGATAAAGCATGCCACTAGTCAGACAGCAGATGCTACTACACTTTCTTTTTTCCTTTTTCTTGTAGAGATGTGACATCACTTGCAGTTGCCGCCGTACTTCCATCCAAACACAACAAACTCAGGATCGACGTCTTCACAAAAGGTACAATTGTTAAACTTTGGAATTTAATGATGGTGTTCATTCTTTAATATTACTTGAATGAATGCATGTAGTGAAGATCTGTCACATGCACAACGAGCATTTGCATCAAATGTGATAACATGAGGCCAGTTCTCAGCTGAGCTAGTTAGAGCATCTTTGTGAGTGTTTCGTAAAAATGAAAATACTGTTGTTTTAATGAAAAATGGTAGTTTATATCCCACATCTATACAAGATTGCTTCCTAGTGTGTGAAGCCTACGCACATGAATTTCATTTCATTTGTGCAGTCAGTGATAATTAGCTTGCCCTGTAATATTAAGTCAAATCTCATTGTAGAGGGTTGAGATCTAACATTCAAGATATTTTGTGTCTAAACACACAAAATATGATGTTAACCAAGAATTTTTATAAGTGATCTTTCAAATACAATGAATACCATTAATTCAAACACGTTTATTTGAACTTCCAGTTAATTTGAACTCATGCTGTGGTCCCGTCAAAGCTATGTTTATTCCAATTAGTGAAAACCACCTGTATTTTGAACGCGCAAGCACTTGCGACGGTCAACATACCGCGCTCCGAAAATGCTCTCAGTATCACACCCAATCTCACGCCAGCATCTCTGGCACCTCAATCCTGTGCACAAAAAAGAAAAAAAAAGAAAACGAAAGAAAAGGCTGCGGCAAAATGTTTGCTCTCTCCTAAATGCCGATCTGGGATGTGCCTGTGCCACGCTTGTCCCTTTTCTATCCCTATCACGTAGAGAGACTTGTCATTTTCTTTATTCAACACCCCGCACGAAGTGAGCAAAAAAAAGAGAAAGCTGTCGTGCCTCTCTCTCTAATGCTGATCTGCTACGCGCCGATGCTACGCTTCCACCTTTCCCGTCCCTGCCATGTAGAAACCCTTCTCCTTTCAACGCTGCGCGCAAAGGGAGCAAAAGAAAAAAAAAGAAGCTGCTGCCTAATGTTGGTTCTCTCTCAAATGCCGATCTGATTCTCTCCGCGTGGAGACGCTCCTTCTTTCTCGTCATGTGCTGGCCACGCTGCTTTTGTGGCGCAAAGTGTAGCAGCCAAAACGCAGTCATTGCTGTCGTCTTTAGAGAGTGTTGGCGTTGGCACTGGACATTGCCGTGCCCAACATCTCTTGTCAAGAGAATGATGAAGCTGAAGTAGGAATGCTTTGCAAACTGCATGCAAAATTGATTGACTCGCTGCAAGGCAAACGTGTGTAGATGCGCACCACCGATTACTTCAATTAATAACGAGTGTCCTGTGATTTGTGAATAAATGTAAGTCTTCTGAAACTTCACCCTCATGTGTTAGCTCAATGCACATGCCCAACTGTATCTGTTCAATTAGCTTAATTTGAGCTTCTTTTAATTCAAACAAATTTTCGGGCCCCTTCGAGTCCAAATTATCAAGATTCAAAATGATAAAACTATAACGACTCATTTTGCTATAAGCAATAGCTCATTATATTCTTATGGGGTCATGACGAGGACGAAGGAAGCAGATGGTAATTACAAGATGAACTGTTTATTCGGCCGAACTTGTGGCCCGTAAACTGAAGGTCAGATTACAGTGATGCCCACTAACACTAATAGCGGTGAACAGAGCATCGGCTTTCAATCAACTTATGAGCAGTGAAGCACGTCTGCATTTATACAGTTGACATCAAATATTCTAGCGTTTCCCGCAGGGGTGTCTGGGCAAGCAGGCCTTTGGTGTGTAGCAACACCACGGACCCGAGCTAACAGAGAAACGGAGGGTTCGACTCCCTTCCACGCCTAGCCGTGCGTGGCTTTGCTGTGTCCGGGGAAAAGGGGATCCTGGGGGTTGAGCCGACGCCGGGTGATTGGACCTTCAAGGCACAGGCAACACACCTCCTTGGTCCTGGCTTCACGTAGACGGTACCCCTGGGCTGACCCACCCAGGGGAAATCGGCAGTCGTCTTTACCTATCTCTCCCTCCCTAAATCTTTATATCTCACTTTTTTTTGTCCTGCCATCTTCTCTCTTCTGTTTACTTCCAATCTTTTCTGGCCGCGAGGGTTAATTTTGTGTATGTGCTGTGTCTTGGGCACAATATATTTGGTTATAGCGGCTGTGTACAGCTGACAATGACATCCCCCATGCAATTTTAGGGCCTGTCACGTACCCCGTGTTGGGCTCCATGGTGGGCGACTGGCATGGCTGCCGAATTTACACCTACTTTGTGGATTTTACTTCTCTTCCTTTACTGCACAATCGTCCTTTCTCGAAGAGAGGGCGATCGAAGAGAGGGCGACTGAAGACATTTCCAATTATTTCAAAAAACCAAAAGAAACTTTCCCCCCCTAACATGTAATTCACTGCGAAACTGCTGAAAAGAATGCCAGAACAATCTTAAATTTTGTTGTCTCCAAATGCCTCACTACAGCACTTGGTCCAGGTTACCAGGCTACAAGAATGGCCAGTGGGGATCTCCTCGTCAAATTAAAATGTCAAGATCAATATGTAAACGAAATAAAAGTTTATCCAATAATAAAAGTTTATCCAATCCAATTCAATATGTAAACGTCTCGAAACTAGAATTGTTTGGAAACATTCCTATCTCAATTTCACCACACCTTTCTTCAACATTTCTCGGGGCGTTGCGTCCGATCAAGACTTGCTTGGCCTCACTGAAGGTGAGCTCCTCAAGGGTTGGAAGGACTTGCAGGTGACACAAGTTTAAAGAATAAAACAGGCATGATAAGACAGAAGTCCCAACCAATAACCAAGAAAATAAAGTCTCAAGGCATGAAAATGCGTCGGCAGGCCAGAAGAGAAAGCTGGCACAAGTTTTTATAAGGGATCGATTCGTATACACAAGAAGCTGGAATATGGAATATGGTTGGTAAGGTAGCAGGTAGACAAGTACACTCACTCCCACTCGTAAACACACAGGGTGACAGCCTGGAAGATCAGGCGAACTTCCTCGGTGCACACTACGAGCAAGTGTCTAGCTCGTCACACTATACTGAAGCTTTCCAAAGATATAAAGCAAGAATAGAATAGCAGAAACTAGAACACAAGTGTACAAAATACGAGGCATACAACCAACCTTTCAACTTAGCTTAGCTGCAAACTTCGCTAAACTCATGCAGTGATTTTGCCCTAGGCTACGACCGTGTCATGTATGAAATGTTGAAAAACCTGCCACTCAAAACGTGAAAAACTTTACTTTTCTTACACAATGCTATCTGTCTTTCTGGCACCATCCCTACTTCCTAGAAAGAGGCTATTGATATCCCTATTTTGAAACAAAGCAAGGACCCTTCCTCAGTTTCGAGTTATGGGCCCATTGCACTTACAAGCTGCTTTTGCAAACTTTTTGAAAAGATAATAAACCAGTGACTTTTACATTTTCTTGAAACACACAATCTGCTCGACCGATTCCAGTGTGGGTTTCGAGAGGGTAGATCCACCACCGTCCATCTGGTGCGTATGGAGGCAGAGATTCGAGATGCTTTCGTCCATAAACAATACTTCCTCTCTGTGTTCCTCGATATTGAGAAGGCTTACGACACAACATGGCGTTCTGGCATTGCTGTGTTGGGGGCTGGCTGGTCCCGACGAAGCAGAAGAAGAAGACGGCCGACGGAGACGTACGCGGCCGGCGGGGACGCCGACCAGCCCGAACACGCGGGTTGGCGCGAAACGCCAAAGGAAAGAAGAACAACCGCACTCCACGGTTACCCAACACACTCACTGGTTTTATTTTACAGTCGCCTTGAAATCCTAGATGCCAGAGCGGCGCCCCCTGGCATCCTCACATGTCATTCCGAAACCGAAACCCAGAACACAACAACCATCCCCTCCTCGAAAAAAGCACACCTATACACTGTTTATATTTATACATGCTCGATACCAACATATTTTACAAGGTATGTACGTTAGAACATACGAAATTTCAGAACACGGCACACCGAACTCGCACACTAAAAGTCCTGAAAATGCACTGACAAACAAAAAAATTTACACAACTGTTCGGAACAAGAGTTCTACATCACATAGTCTTCGAACCGACGCGGCTTCTGCCGCTTCCGCTTAGGGCGGGCCCTTTTGGGTGTAGAATCAGGTGTCTCTGCACCTTGGTCACTTTTGCTCTGATGTGACACATCAAGAGCAGTGGAAGATTGTGAAGGCTCTGAACGAGCGTTAAAATTCGCGATCTCATCAGAGCTCGCAGCATGAGCTTCGGAAGAATTTTGCGGAGCGGAGTCCGGCTCAACGGTCTCAGCTGTATTTGAAGGTTCGAAGTGAACCGTATGACTTGGTGTACTTGAACCAGCGACACCGATTGGTAACTCCTCCCCCTTTGAAGAAGAAATGCCTGTACATGGAGGCCACATGTAACAGTCTGATGCGTAGTTGAAAGGCCTGGACGGAACGTGATGAGGAAGACCTTTAGGTGATGAAGGCGAATCCGTATGAAAAATAACAAGGCGCGAAGCATTCCAGATATTACCATCACTTAAGCGAAAAGAAGTGGGGCTAACCTAGCCCAAGACTATGTAAGGACCCCGATACTTCGAAGCTTGCCTGGCACACGAACCTTGACTAGATCGTCAGTGCGAACTTTGGACTGCTTTGCACCTCGACGGGTGTCGACATACTTTTTCATTGCTTTTTGACGAGAAAAAACCCTGGTACAGATTTGATCAGGAGAAGACACTGCTATGTTACGAGGCAAAGACACTATGTCGAGAGCAACTCGCGGTTGCCTACCGTCGAGAAGTTGAGCAGGAGACACTCCCGTGGTGCCTTGTGGTGTGAACCTGTACGAAGCTAAACATTCAGTCAAGACTTGCTTGAGGGGACGGTGCTCTAATTGGGCGATCTGGATATGTTCCTTCAGAACGCGATTAAAGCGCTCGATTTGGCCATTTGATTGGGGATAGAAAACTGATGACCTCAAGTGCTGAATTCCTCGTGAAAGAAAAGCCTCGAAATGTTGGGACTGAAACTGTGGACCA